AATGTTTCTTCCAGTATTTCCAGGTTGGGGTATTCTGGGTCTTCTTCATCTACAGAATCCCTGTGATTTACCTTGGCCAATGAGGAATTAGCAGGGATGACATGTCACTCATGGGCAGATGTAAGAAGAGTCAGTGTGCGGTTCACCGAGTTTCCTTCCCTAACCGCGGGATCTGATGGATCTCCAAATGGATTTTACACTAACCTGCTTCTCTTTGTAAAGACCGTGTGTGGTGGAGCTCCCTGTACTCATAGGGGCATTTAGAATGAGTGGGAAACTATCCTGTCACTATAAAGCACAGGGAAGTCTTCGATTGTAGTGTAGCCTGGCCTAGGAAAGAAACATCTTTTCTTCTGGGAGATACTAAGAAAACTCTTCCACTGCAAATAAATAAATAAATAAATAAATAAATAAATAAGAAAAAGAAAATTTCTACATCTGATGAATAATCAGAAATCTGAATGCCATCGTTTTAGTCAAGTTGTTTCTGGGATTCACAGCATCATTTGAAAGCCTTGAAAAGAGAAAAGGAAGTGAATTGTAGAAATCATAGAAAGGAACCTTAAAATTCTCGCTAGAGCCTCACAGGACTTTCCAAGAGCATTTTTCCCACTTGCAGACACGCTATGAAGTGAGCTCCTTATGGTTTAACTGGGACCTTCTTAGCAGTTTCACAGGGGAATGAAGAAACATTCTCTGGCCCAGAAAGATGGCTTGGCTGTTAAGATTGCTTTGCTGCTCTTGCTGAGGGACCAGAGTTGGGTTCTCAGCCCCCACATTGGGCTGCTCACAACCACCTGTAACTCCAGCTCCAGGCATTCGGAAACCTTCTTATGACCTCTGTGACCTACATGCAGATGTCAGATGCTCACACAGACACACATACCTATACCTAAATAAAAATAATAAATCTTTTTTTTAAAAAAAGACAAGAAACTCATCTTTCCCCATTACATTCACTTCTATAATTTCAAGTTGACAAAAGTAAGAATACTTGGCTAGTCAAGTCTTTAAGAAGCATCATCCTGAGAAAGTTCACCCTTCCAGAATCTAGTTCCTCATCTTGTATTACGGATTAAATTTTTGTGGTCCATTCACCAATCATATGTTGAAAGTTGGCAACCTTCCCTCCCCATTATATGCTGCTACTACCTCTACAGCAAACATAGCAAACAGGAAGTCAGCCATATGCAGGCCAGGACGAGAGTTTCACAGTGAAGGGACCAAGTCTGAGATTCACCAGCCACGACCAATCAGTAAGTTCATCTGTAACCCCAGAATCACAGCAGAGCCTAACCAATCTCGCACTGATCTCAGACTTCTAAACCTCCAACCTGAAAGTACTAAATGTCTGTTGGTTAAAGTGCCTGCTCCCTCTTGTTCTGTTATAGCATCCTGTGCAGAGGACAGTAGCTAGGAGAACTAAAAACAATTAGACTAGATGATCCGCAGGCTAGCACCGCTCTCTAGCAAGCTGCCTTGGGAGGTATCTGAGTGACAGCATTTTCAGGAGCTGTAGCATAGGGACAGCTCATCCAGAACGTCCCTGTGTTTCCAAACACAATGCTGCTTTGTATGGTGCTCTTTGGGTTTTCGTATACTGGCCCAGCCTTGACTGCTTCCAGGATAAGTGAGCACTTCTCTTCTTCAGTCTCAGATTAGTCTAAAGGTAGGCTATTAGAAAACAGACAGGATAGATGTGGAACACACAAAAGGCTCTCTGTTTCTAACCTCTATAACTTAAAGATGCTTTTCAGCTTTTCATGAACTGGTCACCTAAGGAAATTGCCAGGAAACTTTTGTGAGAAGTGGTGGCTGTGTGTCTAGTGCCCTAGACCGAGCCACTGAGGATTTTTTCCTTCATCTTTGGAGTAGCGTGGCTGATTGCCAGCAATGCGGCTCCTTTCACATAGATAATAACTGAAAATTGGCAGCGAGGTATGATTGCCTTGACTCATGTCAACAGGGGAAGAAGCAAGGTGAAGGTTCAGCTGTATCACGTGGCTGCTGAGCTGCAGTTTGGTCACAGTGGTCTGTGAAATTAAGAAAGCTGCCGGCAACTTTAGCAGAGGATCGGAAATATCCTACCATGGTTGAATTTGGTGAGGCATGCCCTTAATCCTCAGTACCGAAAAGGCAGAAGCAGGAGGGTATCTGAATTTGAGGCCAGCCTGGGCTACGTAGCAAGTTCCAGGCCTGCCAAGGTGACATAAGGAGGCCCTATCTCAAATAAAAAAAGATGGATGGAGGGAAGGAAGAAAGGATGGAACCGACTTCATAGAGCCCTCCTGTATAGATAAACGTATGATGTTTCTGTTGTTAAATAGTTCAATAGATACCTGGCTTCACTCTCCTGAGTGTTCAAGAAGGACACTATTGTCCCTGAAGTTTGAAGTAGACATATTATTTACTTGATACACAACACTTAGAGAGAGTTAAGAGGACCCCCAAATCACCCCTTCCATAAACAGAGGCGTATCCATCAGTTTGTCTTCTGCTGTGATAAGCACCTGTCCTCCAACAGTAAGCAATGGGATGAAGGTCAGAAAGTGCTGAAGCCCCAGAGAACCCGGGCCTGCTTGTTGATGCATCTCACATCAACCTATGCTGACTGCAAACTGCTATAGCTTCCTAATTCAAAAGCAAGTCTCTTGCAGAAGAAAACTGCCCCTGCTGGGTGGACATTTCAACTTAGCCATAGGCAGATGCCTTTTCATAAAAAATTCTGTAAATCAATTTTGGTTCTTTTCAATTTTTTTTTTAAAAATGTTTTGACAGGCAAGTGAGGCTGGCCAGGAATTTCAGCTCTGCCTCTGGAATGCTGAAAATACAACCTGCCTATGCCACTATGCCCAGCATTTTGGTGGTGCTGTTGTTGCTGCTGCTGCTGTTGTAAAGATTTCTTTTTTTATTTATGCATATAGGTTTGTGTGTATATTCTATGTGTAGGGACACTCTGGGAGGCCAAAAGATAGTACTGGATCCCCTGGAGTCACAAGCAGTTGTGAGTCACCCCATGTGGGTGCTGAGAACCAAACTCTCAGGTTCTCTTAAAGAACAGGAAGCAGGTTTCATCTTTCACACACATGAGCACACGTGCGCGTGCACACACACACACTGCAGTCAGAGTACATCTTGCAGGAGTTGATTCTCTCCTTCCACTGTATGTATCCCAGGCACTGAAGTAGGTAGTCAAGCTTGGTGGTTTTACCCACTGAGCCATCTCAGCTGCCCAACTTTGTTCTGGGGTTTTGTTTTTGTTCGGCTTGATTTTGGTAATTTTTTTAAAGACAAGTGCTACAAACTTTCCCGGGAAGCACCAGGTCTAGCAGTTCTACCTTGTCCTTCCTTGTTTTTGACATATTTTTCTTTCATACGTTTTACTTCTTGAGACGGGGTCTCATGTAACCCAGATTGTCCTAAAACTTGCTATATCCTAAATCTGACAATGACCTTAGACTTTCGGTCCTATTGTTCTGACTTTACAGGGGTGCACCACCACAGATCAGAGTTCCATTTATACCAGGCAAGGGCTCTACCAGCTGAGCTACATCCGCAGCCCCCCTCCCCCATACCTCTAAAAGAAAAGTGTACGTAGAGCACACAGATTTCAATTCACATTAGTTTCGGCATGTTAAAACTTAAGACTATGAAAAACTTCTTGCAAAACTAATGAACAACTGGGGAGGTTGGATGTGGTGGCACACACCTTTAATCCAGCACTCAGGAAGCAGAGGCAGAGGCAGAGGCAGGCAGATCTCTATAACTTCAAAGCAAGCTTGGTCTACATAGCAAGTTCCAGGCCATCTGGGTGGACAAATGATACCATGTCTCATAATTTAAATAAATAAATGCAATCACGGAAATCAAATTCTAAAATTAATAAGAAACACACACACACACAAAATCAAAGCTTTAAAATTAAACACCAAAAATATGTTGGATATCATATTATTTTCTGAAAATGAAATTGTCACCACCAAAATGTCAACATAGTTCCAATGTCAATTAAATAGGTTCCTTGGGGTGTGGTATATTTATATAATGTCTTCTGTGATGACCTATTTTTCTACTGCTTTTCTCGTTTTTCTGAACTACCACAAAATCTTTCTTAATTTATATTGCATGGAAGAAGTTTAAAGGAATCATTTCAGCATAAGAAACAAACTATGAGAATTATGGATCACTATCAATACCAATAAGCAGATGATTCTAGCTATGACTAACTTTTTAAGATTATGGTCAAAATGAAAATACCATCTTAAAAGTTTTGCTCAACCAAGACCTGAGGATGTAATTCCATGGCTGTTGGCCAGAATACCCCAAGGCCCTAAGTTGGATCCCTAGTCCACAAACAAACAAGAAAATAGCCACACACCTAGGAACATCCCACTCTCAAAACATATTTCAGATACCACTGAAGTATACAGTTATAAGCGTTAAAAACCACTTGTCCATATTTTATCACTACCAGAAAACATTTTCTTCAGGGGACTGGAGATATGGCTTAACAGTTAAGAACACATACTGCTCTTACAGAGGACCCTAGTCTGGTTCCTAGCACGTACTCCGGGCAGCTTACAGCTGCCTATGACTGTAGCTCCAGATAATTCTAATACCTCGGGACTCCAGGCACCTGGCCTCAGACCCACACACCATAATTTAAAAAATAAAAGTATCATATATGTGTGTATATATTTATATATATTTATATATATATGTCATGATTTACATGTATTTTATAGACACACACACACGCATACATATATTCCTTCACCCCCTCCCAGCCAGTCTTGTAATCCTAACTGCTCCAGGAGCTAAAGAAGGAAGAGGAACAAGAGGAGAAAAAGGAACAGGAGGAGGAGAATTGAATTCGAGGCCTGCCTGGGCTATAGAGTACATTCAAAACTAAAACTAGCCTAGGCAGTTTAGTGAAACTCAGTCCAAAAAAAAAAAAAAAAGCTAAAAGGGGGTTGGGTTACTGCTCAGTGATAGAATAAGCTAAGTCCTAAGTCCCTAATAACTCTCATCCCCAAGTAAAAATTTTCAGAAGGAATTGCACAGATATCCTAAGATGACCTTCCCACTGTTTTGAAATGGGATGGCCTTGAAGTAAGTCTGTAACTTCTCCGAACCTCGAGGATCTCGTTGGTAGTTCATACTGAGACACTGAGTGAATGGGTGACTGACAGCCCCCTTCTACAGACGACTGCTAAGCACTGTTCCTTCCGGACCACAGCTCGTCAGAATTTCCCAGCAGCCCCTGGTGAAAGCCACTCCCAGATGTAGTCCATAAAGCTACCCCCACAGTCTTCGATCTGTGCCCTTCCCCTTGTGTGGCCTTAGTCCAAAGGTCCGCATTCACTTTCCGGCTTCGCGTTATACGGGCAAGCTGCTCCCCGGAAAAAGGAAGCCCATTGTAAGGTCAGCTCTGGAACTGGCTCAGCGACTACCCACCACCTGATACCACCACTGTAGACTGGTATAGTTTATCCCAAATTTCAGCTTAGGGAGTCTGAAAGCCAGAGGGGTTCAAGAGCTTGCCTGAGGCCTAGGCATCATTGCTACCCAGCCGGGGAGGATAAGATCTCTCGGGTCCTACCTGCTTTCCCTATTTGAAACCTGTTTGTTGGGGGGAACAATTGACCTCACCAGAGTGAGTTTCACATTTTCCCATTACAAAAGGAAAATGAGAAAAAGATGCCCTAGATAGCACAGAGAAAAATACTTCCTTGTGTTAATTGCCTTTCTATTTCAATCGAGGGAGGCACTTAATTATTTCTGAACTACATTCAAAACTCTCTCTTCCTCAAGACTAGCCCTCTCCCCGGGTGAGTTAACACAGCCTGTGCCTTCTGTTTCCAAAGACTGAGTCATAACAGCAGGCATTTGCTGGGCACCTTGTTTGTGCCTTTGCTCCACAGTCTTCACTACTGACCCCATTTGCTCCCCACCGCAGGGACATAGCATGGGCCCTCTAACAGCTGAGAAATCCGAGGCACAGACTCCACTCCTTATGACCCTGCCACTAGACAGAGACTTGGGGCTCTCCTCTGTGGTCCCCACTGCTGGCTATGCGGGGGAACCGTTCAAGAGGACTAGGTGTGGCTGCTTCTGAGTCAGTCAAGGATCTCAAACTTCTGGAGACTGAGAGAGATGGTGTAGTGGCCAAAGAGACAACAGGGGCAGGGTGCTGCTGACTTTTTAGACATCCACGGAAAGAAAGCTTTGCTGCTGAGTGGCAGGGCCCTGGAAAACGTGCCTTCAGTCACCTCCACTGACTTCATCGGGGCTGTGAAATTGGGAGAAGAAACCTTCCTTGGCTTTTTCAGATTCCAGTCAGGTGGGCCTGGTGCTCCTACCTTCTGCTCTCCTGATCTGGGAAGGTTGCGTTTCAAGAAGCCCTTTGGAGGCCTGAAGCCACGAGTGATGCTGAACTCTGTGTTTCCCAGGTTTGTTCCCTATACGCACGTCCCTACGATAAAGTTAAATCCGTTCATTAGAAGCAATAAGATATTGACAATAACTAATGATAGAAGAATAGTAACACTAGACTGTAATTAAACTGCCAGCATCACTGTTGCGGCACTCTGGGGCCATGATTATGTAAACAAGGGCCGAATGAACATCGGCATGGTGAAGCTATGACAGGCAGCTGGGTTAACTGGGGCGGTTGCTATGCGACCAAAGGGCGGATGACACAGACAGCGCCGATGTGTGGATAAAGGCATGAGTCACGTTCTGCTCAAGAGCGAACAGGGTGGCGTGAAGGCCGCTCTTACCACTCACAACAGTGTGCAACTTAACACCCAGGAATTGTTCAGTTCTAGAATTTTCCGTTTATTATTTTCAGCTGACCACAAGTAACTGGAAGAGGAAACGGTGGGAAAGAAGGGACAGTTCTAAACTCGGACAGCATGACGCATGTGTTATACAAGGAGTAACAAGTATCCTTCCGCATGATGGACTGGACGGTCCAATCCACCTTGTATTAAACAGAGTAAAAGCGTGTAATGTGTGGGCTGCATTCAGAGGAAACAGATTCTTCAAATTGTTCACAAGTTCCTTAAACTTAACAATCAGTAAAGTGTGGGGTATTTTATATATTTAAGCCAAAGGGTTTTATAACTTAAGTTAGCAGTATTTTATGCTTTAAGGTTCTCTTGATTCTGACAGCACAATCACTTTTACATATTTTGATAGAAATATTCTATTTTTGATAACTTTGCATGTGTGAGAAACATTGTTCCTTTAAATATAAAATATAGCATCTTCATGAAAATACACACATACTACATGTCAATCAAAAAGTTAATAATAAATTTGTGGATCAAAAAATATTGCCTCTCTCCCTAATAAACCAGAGAAATCATTAATTCTTTATTCCTCTTTGAAAGCTTCTATTGCCTAAGCTAAGCACTTGCTTGAAACAATTTATTCCTAATAGACATGTCAACATATTTTAAAAACTGCATGGGGCTGGAGAGATGGTTTGGTGGTTAAGAGCCCTAAGAACCCTGGTTGTTCTCCAGAAGAGAGAGTTGGTTCTAACCCACTCACCCAGCTCACAACCATCTGAAACCCAGGAAATCCAATGCCCTCTTCTGGCCTCTGCAGGAACTACATGTCTGTGGTGTCCAGGTAAACATGCAGGCAAAAGACTCATACACATAAAATAAAAATAAATGTTGTTTTTTAAAATAAAATAAAATCTTTAAAATGAAAAAATTCATAAACTCAGTGTGTGTGTGTGTGTGTGTGTGTGTGTGTGTGTGTGTGTGTGTGATGTATGGTATTTGGTATGACTGTGTGCTTATGTGTACTGTATGTGGTGTGTGACGTGAACGTATCTGTGTGCAAATATGTGTGGATATGTGTTTGTGTATGAGTGTCTTTGAGTATGCTTGTGTACATGTTTATGTGTATGGTGTTCAGTATGTGATGTGAGTGTGTATTTAAGTATGTATAGTAGAGAGAGACACACGGAAGGACAAAGGGAGGGAGGGAGGAGAAGGAGAGAGAGAATGTGGTAATGGATGACCCACTTGGAAGGCACCTTATGGCAAGGTACGTGTTCTTCACCAACCTAAACCCCTTAGACCCAACATCAATTTTTCATGTTTAGATTTGTGGGATCTATCAAGCTTTAAATATGGCAGCAGATGCTACATGCTGAAGGAAGGATTGGGACTCTGTTCTTAACCAGAATTCAGCAAGAAACCAAACAGAATTTTCTCTTCATCTCCTTTGTGCTAGTTCACAGTCTCATGTACAGTGCTTCAAAAGCACCTAAGCACCCCAATTCCACTACATTCTGGTGATGCTGTGCCAACTAGATGCATTCAAATATGAAGGAGAAGAAAATGAGTCCACTTGGGCTTCCAGTTTCCAGTCCTGATGGGTACTGCACACATTCAGATCTCTGAGGAATGCCCAGGCCAAATTTGGGGTAAAGACATATAGCCATGGAAATGACTGGAATAGGGGGTTCACTTGAGCCCCTGCCAGAGGGCTGTGTGGCAAGGGGAAAGTCAGGGTTCTAAGGCATCCAAGGTGGAAGCTTGCAGGTGACCTTTCCACACTGAGCTGGCATTTCAAAGAGCTACCTTTTCAACATCAGAACAAAATTGACCTAATTATATCCCCGGTTCTGTGAAGAACTTTGGGTTCTCGTTGGCCCTGTGGAGGGTTCACAGCCCAGGTTCTCAGAGACTGAGCTAAGCAGTGAGTTTCAGTCCCTACAGAGGGCTTAAGGTGGTACCCACTCCACACGCCCCCCGGGAAGGAGTCATCCTGAAGTTTCCTAGGGAGAGGGCATGACTATGCTAGACCTTAATCTTCCCTAACAATAGCCATGCAAGGATAAAGGGAGCAAACAAGCAGTCCAGGCCAGAGACAACACCAGGAAAGCATGCAACGAGAGCCAATGAGTGAACAGAGCGAACACAGTGGCAAACGGAGACATTGTGAGTGTCGGACCTACTTGGTTGACATATCTAAGGAAGTAAGTAGCAAATTCGCTAATGTCTGCCTGGTAAGTGGGGAAACCCTGTCAAACTTACTTTACCAGACTTGAAAAGAAACAAACAGAACCTTAAAAAGTAAAAAATGATTGTGTGTGTGTGTGTGTGTGTGTATGTGTGTGTGTGTGAACACATGCATGTGTGTACTCTCAAAGAGTTGGTCACCCCCGGCAGACTCTCACTGCAGGAACCCATTGGTGTGTTTCAGGCAGCAAGAGATGGAAACCATAGAGATCCCAGACACTCTAACGTTCATGGATGAAGAAAGCAGAGAGCATGGGCATGAAATAAGCCTGACCACAAACAATGTTGATGATTTCCAGACCATAAAGTGCCTCTCAGAATACAGTGTGGTCTCCATGTGTGAAGAAATAACAGACAAAGCTAGCAGGACTTGGTGGGGGAAAAAATCAGAGTAACAGATGCGAAATGGGAATTAGAGAAGAGATCCCAGGTTCTGGCTTAGGGTACCTTGTGTCCCCTTTTTAATCCACAAGATAATAAAAGTTCTGAATATCTATCGCCTTGGCTAGGTTAGTTATGGAGTTTGAAATAATGTCCTGGGGCTGCTATAACAGTGTAACCCACCCCAGAGGCTTAGGAAGCAAAACACATCCTCCCACCATTCTGGAGGTTAGAAGTCCAAACTCAAGGCATCAATGAGGCCATGTTCTTTGTGGGTTCTCAGGGAGATCTCCCTGCCTCCTCTAGTCTCTGGCAACCCTTGAACGCTCCTCGGCTTGTAGCAGCAGCAGCATCTGGTCCCTGGTTGTCCCACGGGTCTCCTCTTTTGAGGGGTATCTTGGTGTTAAACTTGTATCGCTCTAAGCAGGCTTTCTTTCTCTTAAAACAATGTAGTAAAATTGCACAATACAAAACATGGTATCACAGCCACTTTGAGTGTGAAACTCGGGAGTATTTAGTTCATCCACTCCATCTTGCAACCAATCTCCAGAATCTTCTTCATGCAACACAACCAAAAGTTTCTGGCCCTAAACCACACCACCTCCACATTTCTCCCCGCTCCCATAGCCTCGGCAATCACCATTTCACTTCGGGTGGCTCTCGGTCGACTGCTGTAGGCACCGGACATCAGTGGAAGCATACAGTACCTGCCTCTTCGTCAGTGGATCATTCATGTGAGGCAGATATTGTAAAGTTGTTGCTTTTCTTTTTACTTTTAAAGGCGAAATAATGTTCCTTTTCATACAAATTCCAGCTTGTTTATCCACCCCTCAGTAATCACATGAGTTGTCCTGTGTTATGACAGCTGTAAACAATTCTGCTGTGAGCATAGGAGCCCAGTGTCTTTCCGTCTTAGACACTTGTTCTTCATTTGTTTCTTTTTCCTCCATCAATCAACTTAAGTAACTTGTGGCATTCTGAAAGTTTGTTCCCGTAATGTACGTTCCCTAATAAATTGGCACCATGTTATTGCCAGGCCTAGTGGTGCATGCCTTTAATCCCAGCACTTGGGAGGCAGAGGCAGGTGGATTTCTGTGAGTTCAAGGCCAACCTGGTCTACGCAATGAGACCCTTGTCTCAAAACAAGTTACTTATAATCTTAAGTTCCATGGAGTTGGTAGTGATGTCGATGCTTTCTTTTGTGTTTGTTTTAGTTTGTTGTTGTTGTTTTGCTTTGTTTTGTCTTGGTTTGGTTTTTGTGAGAAAGGGTTTCTCTGTGCAACAGTTCTGGCTGTCCTTGGGACTAGCTCTTGTAGACCAGGCTGGTCTTGAACTCACGGAGCTCCTCCTGCCTCTGCCTCTCGAGTGCTGGGATTAAAGGCGTGTGCCACTACTACCCAGCTTGTTTTGTTTTAATTACATTTACTTACTTACTTACTTATTTGTGGTGAGGAGGGCACTGTGGTAAGAATAACAAAGTAAGAACAACGTACTTTCCTTCTACCAGGTGTGTCCCAGGGAGACATGCTGTCAGGCTGAGCTGCTAGAGCCTTGGTCTCACTGCACCAGCTCGCTGACCCTCACTCCTAATTTTTGACCATTTGTCTCTTGTCTTATTTCTTCATCAGCCTAAGCAAGGATTTATCCAGTTTGCTGATGTTTTCAAAGGAGCAGCCTTGGGTTTTATGGACTTTCTCAGTGTGATGGAAAGGTTATTCCATTGATCTCTGCTCTGACATTTTTATTATTTGCCTCCCAATGATCACATCCTAAGGGGGAAAGCCATTGATTTCAGACCTTTCTTCTCTGATAAAACAGAAGGTAAACCCTTGTTTGTGGTTATTCATTGTATCCTGTGAACTCTGATGGCTTCTTCTTGTTGTTGTTCTTCTCATTCATTTCAAAATATAGTTTTGAATTTCCCCTGAGAATTCTTCTTTGCCTCATGAGTTATTCAGGGGTGGAACTCAATTTCCAAATATTTGAGGTTTTCCCAGAATCCTTACTGTTGTGGACTCCTAATTTAATTTTGTTGTGGTGAGAGAGCCAACTTCGTCTGACTGAAATCTTCTTAAATGTATGGAGAGCTGGGTTTTGGATGATCTGTCCTGGACAATGTCCCATGGGAATGGGAAACTTGAAACTTCTTTCTTTATTTTTTTTTTAGTGTTTACAACATTAGTTAAGTCATGTTGATTAGTTTTGTTGTTGAGATCTTTTGTGTTCTGCTTCATCTTCTGCCGAGTTGTTCTATCAGGTAAGTGTGGTGCATCGAGATGTCAACATATTCTTGCTGATTGTCTATTTCTTTGTTTGTTTGTTTGTTTTGCTTGCTTTTCAAGACAGTGTTTCTCTGTAGTTTTGGATCCAGTCCTGGACCTAGCTCTTGTAGACCAGGCTGGCCTCAAACTCACAGAGATCCGCCTGCCTCTGCCTCTGCCTCTGCCTCTGGGATTAAAGGCGTGCGCCACCACCGCCCAACAATCATCTATTTCTTTTTTGTTTTCAGATTCTCTTTGTGTGTTTTAAGGCTCCACTTTGGGAATATAGAGGTATATAATTGTTATATTTCCCTTATGCATTATCTCTATTATTATTTTTCAAAGTATCTTTTATCTTTGCTTTTCAACAAGAGTGTTTAGTCCAATCACATTTAATGTAATTGTTGATAATGTTAGAATTTTTGCCTGACATTTTCAATGTGATTTTTATTTGTCCCATACGTTTTTCTGTTCCCTGTTTACTGCATCCCTTGGGGCTAATATGCTTTCAGTTACTTTAATTACTTTATTTCTTTGAGAATATTTTATTTAATATTAAAATGGGGGCACCTGTTTCAGTGTGCATGTAGAGGACAGGAGACAACTTTATGGAGTTTGTCCTCTCTTTCCACTTTTGCTTGTGTTCCAAAGATTAAACTTAAGTCTTCAAGCCTGGCAGCAAGAACCTTTATCTCCTGAGCCACCTCCCTGACCCCTTTGTTTCTTTTCTTTTTTACTGCATTTTGCTTAGATTTCCCTAGTGGCTGTGTTAGAAATTTCAGTATCTTCTTCAACTCATCATAATCTGCTTCAGAATAATATTAATTTAATCTGGTAAAACACACAAACATTGTTCCACCAAGTCCCCCTACCCTCCTCTTTTTTTTTGATGGTATCACTGAATGCATTTGGTGTGACATGTTCATTATAAACTCTGTAATACCATGCTGTTAAGTTCTGCCTCGGACCGTCTTAGGTCTTTTAAGGAAGCTAAAGGCAAGGTGAGAGACACATATTTTGTATTTTCTTCTGTGTTTACATCTCTGGTTCTCACCATTCAGCCTGGACTGGAGTTATCATCTGGGGTCACTTTCTTTTGAGTGGAGAGCTCTCCTCTTGTGTGCCCATGTCAAGTGAGTAGCATTGACTATTATCCTTCTTTGTTAATCTGTGGGATGTCTTGGTGTTTGCTTTTGTTAAAGATATTTATTTATTTATTATGTATACAGCATTCTGCCTGCATATATGCCCACACGCCAGAAATAGTGTTCGCCTTTTAAATAATTTCTACTTTCTATATTGACAGGGTTGTTTCTTTCCCTCACTATTGTCTTGTTGCTGTTGTTCCTTTGGGTTGTTATTGATGCTTTTGAGGGTTTTTTCTTTCTTACTGTATTTTCAACAGGTTGGTTCTGATATTGATTGTGTGTATATGTGTTTTGTTGTGTGTGCACCACTTGAGTGCAGTACTCTCAGAAGCCAGAAGAGGTCATCAGAGTTCCTGGAGCTAAAGTTACAGATGGTTATGCCTGATTGGGTTCTGGGACCAGAATCCAGGTCCTCTGCAAGAGCAGCAAGTGCCCTGAACCACTGAGGATTCTACCCCCCATAAAAGGATCTTTGTTATGTTTATCTGTGTGGTTTAGATCCTTGGAGCTCTCTGGGTCAATATTAATACATCTTTATGAATTTTGAGATGCTTGGGGACAATAGAGTCATGACTTTTTCAAAAGTTCCCTACCCACTTTCTCTTGTCCAGCTCCACCCAAGACTCCCACCACAGGTCTGTTCATCCTTCTGCGTTCACCCCATGGATTGCTAAGGATGATCCGTTTCTCTTCCATCTTTCTTCTTCCCATCCTTTAGACGGGGTGACTTGTATTAGTTCTTCTCTAGTTCTTTCTTCTGTCACTTTAAAACCATTGCTGAGTCTCCGTGTTTATCTTTTAACTTTAGAATTTCCATTTGGTTTACCATTTCTATCCCTTTACATGGCAGAGGTCCACATTCAAAGCTCAGGACAATTGGCCTCTACCCCTATTCCTGCTGGATTTTTGGGGTTTCTTCTTTTAGCTGGAGATGTGTGAGGTATTTAAAGTCAACCTCACCTCTGCTGCACTTGACAGTCTCCAGTCAATACAGTCTGTGTTAAGAAGTGGTCAAGGCCATATGTGGCCTCACATCTAAGCACAAACTCTGTAATACTAATAGCTAATCCCTTAGCTAGTCCGTTGCTTCAACTAAACAGAACTCTAAATTTAAGCTAGCGAATTGTTAGCGGTCCCTACCCGTTTGTCACCAAGATTCCCACTTACCCAGTGACATTCCCAGTCAAGGACCTCATCTGGGCAGCAGCAACAAGAGTTGGCATTCGTGACCTTGCTCACCTCATTGACTGCTACCCCCAGAACCAGTGGTCAGGAAGGGCAGAAAGGCACCCAGACAACAGTGCCGCAGGCTCATATTGCTCTTACTTGAAGTTCAGATTTCTTTAAATTTTGCCATGAGTTTCATTAGTTTCCAAACAACTGAAACTGTTAGTTTTCAAGTTTTGACCAGCTTAATAGTTACTTAACTGTTTACACTGTTCGTTAGTTGTTCCCTGTTGAGTCTCAGGGGTTTTAACTGTGTAGTCCATGCTACGGTTAAACTCATGATCCTCTTGCTTCAACCGCCCAAGCACTGAGGCTGTGGTCTACACCATCATACCAGGCTCACTAGTCTGTTCCTTTTTGAGGAAATTATTTATCAGTATTTTTACTGCAGCTGGCAGAGAAACGAATCCTACAATCAAAATGAATCTCAAGTGAAATATTAAGGTGTAGAAAAACACACTGTATAATCTCATTTGTGTCTGGTTCTAAGGACAGGACAAACTACACCCTGTGGTTTGAAGATGAGTAAATCCATGGTAATATGAGCAAAACAAGCTGGTAAATATTCCACAACGGAAGACGGCAATTACAGCTGCAGAAGAGATCATGTCCGGAAACCAAAGCCTAAAAGGCAAGGTCAGGGTCCGGGATTCCATCGCTATCCGATGTCTTGCCTTGGGTGGCCATTAGCAAATGTTCACCTCAGAACTATTTAAGAAGAAAAACAGCACACACAGGATCTGGCATGATGATTCGTGACCATCACCCCAGCCATGTGGATGCTGAGGGAAGAGAATCACCCACAAGTTGAAGGTCAGCCTCTCCTATGTGGTGAGTTCCAGGCAAATCTGGGCTACAGAGTGAGACCCTGCTCAACAATTACACATGTTTATGTCCCCGCACGTATATTGTAGATTGCAATAAAGTGTCAGGTGAAACATGCTACTCAGTTGTTTCCTTATTTACTGAATGAGCCTAGAGCGAAGTGCACAATTGAGACAGCTGTGAAAAGAACTGAAAAGTCAGAGGTTTCTATTGTCATTTATAGCTTAGGGGATGGATACCCAAAAAGTAAGGACCCTACAATAAAAAAGTACTTTTATTTTCATTTTTTTTAGATGTGTGAGTATAGAGGCCAGAGATGGATAGCTTCCCCATTGTGTACTAAGTTAGCGTTTCCTTCTGAACCCAGTTCTGGTTTCTGCCAGTCTGGCTAACCAGTTTGCTCTCAAGATGCTCAGACCATCATATGTAAAGATTCGGGTGAGAGCATCCCGGGGAGAGAAAGTGGCGAATTAGAACTTGGAGCACCTGGAGGAGGAAAACACTCGGTTGAGATTTACAAGTTGACCCCAGACCTCCAAAGGATCCTCTTGTAATGCCCTCAGGTGTGTAGAGCAAAGACTAACCAGCAGAGGAAAGACACCAGAAGCGAAATTCTCCTCGGGGAAAGATGACTTTGCCAGCATCAGAGCTTGTCAAGAAGCCCTGACGGGTGAGCAGAGGCCATGTCACTGGAGTTGCCCTCCCCTCATATTAATCTTTACTGTCAGTTTGACTAGTCTTGAACTCATCCAAGAGACATGCTTCTGGATGTGTCTGTGCACGTGCTCCCAGCATGCTCT